AAAAAAAAAAAAAAAAAAAAAAAAAAAAAAAAAAAAAAAAAAAAAAAAAAAAAAAAAAGATAAATACTAGAAATGATGTCGTAACAAAGTGAAAACATTGCGAAGATTCGGGCGATTTCGAGTTTTTTTTGCTCTTTACGAGCTAGTTTACTCGGACAGGATGTTGCGTGAAAAATTATGTATACCCAAGTCCAGATGAAATGATAAGGCCGTCGCGTGCGTTGTACCACTTGCACTCGTACACTTTTTTTTTCCTAATTCACGTTGATATAGCGAAATATAATATAAGTAGTATCGTTATTACAATGTACCTATGTATACAGACGCGTGTGTGGTAATGGGCGCCAAAACAAATTAAGCACGAATGTGTGCGGGGCAAATCATATGTTACTTTCTTTTCTCGCGAGAGTACAAATTAAACGTCGATAATACACGCGGGAGGAGGCGTCTAGCTTTCACTCATTGTGCGATGAAAAATAGCCGCGGTTTGTTGAAATGAAGGAGAAAAAAAAAAAAAAATATGGATTGAAAATTTCACTGGATACACGCTGATCCGATCGCCGCGGCTATAGATCGGCATTTTTATTTTAACATACATCTCGATGGAAGTGGTGATATATACGCTGAAGGGGACAGTTGGAGTCGACGAGATAACGATTTCTCAAGAGTCATTAAAATCTGATTTAGAAAATTGTCGCGTCGCGGGCCCGTTAAATATATGCGTTTTGATAAAAATAAAAGTAATGAGTACGTGGTCTCTTCCGCTTTACTTTACTGACTACGTGTCGTAACCAAAATGAACAGTAGCCCAGTCAGTAACGCACAATGCCATGAATACTGTGGTTTGAAACTTATACTTGACAAAAATGGCTAGGAACAACCCCATTCACGGACATCAAAGTACATCACGATATGGGTCGTATTTCCCTATCCGTCACGCGATTTCTTTTTTTTTTACCATCAACCAAAACCATTTAACGAAGAACACAAACGTTTCATCCCGACTGTACTTTTTGATAAACCATCAAAACAACAACCTTACGTTATATACGTATATCCAGCAAATGCAAAAACTCTCTTCCTTCTTCGGCGCACCTGCACTTGGAAATTAATGACCCTGCACTAACCGATCACTAGTTCACTGCTCGAAGTAACACCATCTTTTTTTTTTTTTTTTTTGTTAATTAACTTTCACATTTGTACGTACAGGGGTAAAGTGCAGTACATTACAACGAAACGCGGGGCGCAAGCGAGTCGCGCCGCGGCGCGATACAGTATCGGCACTGCCGTGGCAGACACACGAGCCGGCCACGAACTGCGGTACCTATACCACCACCACTGCCTCGGTCTTGGCCACACCGCGCTCTCGCCTCCTCCTCCTCCTCCTCTTCTTCTTCTACCACCACTAATATACTACATGTTGTATGTATATGCTTTGCTGTATAATGTGTCTGATATATAAAGTTCGTGTGTGCGTGCAATGGAGAAAGAGAGAGAGAGAGAGAAATTGTAGGCAGTTGCGAAGGGAAGGGGAAGACACAATGGAAATAAGCGGTGTACATATTATGTACGTGCCTCGGGAAGGTTACGTTTTATACAGGGGGTTGGTGGGAGAGTTTTTTTCGGTGATGGAGAATAATCGTACCAAAGAGTGCTTTTCGGGGCTTATTTTTCAATTGAGCCGACCATACGTTCGGTACTTATGTCATGATGACTCCCGGGGATCCGAGTCTGATAACTGCGCCATGGGATCACAATGTGTGGACGCGCATTCGCCCTTTGTTCGCTCGGCTGGACTGTGCTCTTTTGATTATTCAAACGATCAATGAATCGCGGCTTCAATTGAATAATACCCCGACGCGGGAATCGCTGTTGATTCTTTGTTTCATCGAGAGGCGCTGTTATCCGATTGCTGCACAAATCGTCAAGAATTTTCCCGACAAATATATTATGGCTGATCCCGCAATCGTTGCAACCGATTTAGTTGTTGTGGCTCTCTTGTTTTCTCCTACAATTTTGTCAGACGAAGGAACGACCGATGCACCGAAATGAATGCCCAAGATTGCCCCAAGATGAAGCAAAACTCCGGGATGGTCGTGGTGCGAGCCGCTGTCGAGCGAAGGGCAAAAGGGAAATAAGTTTGAGAAACTAAAAAAAAGAGACAGCCACGAGGAGAGGAGGGTCAAGATAAGGGCCGCCTAACGAAGCGCGCGAGACTGTGTAAAAGCTGTTGGTTAAATAAAATTGTACTCGTGCGCTTTGCAGAGGCTTCGTGCCCGCTCTCGCACACACTTTTACTTGTTGCAATTACTGCGATTAGTTGGAAAACGCGAAAGAGCTGGCTTGTGTGTGCACGAGAAAGAGACGCGCTCGGCTTGTTTCTCCTGCAACTGCGCAGAGTTCGTTTAATCTGCGGTGAAGAGCCTTTTAATGAAATGTTAAGTCCCTCTCTGGTTACTACTTTTTTTTTTTGGGAGGGTGGTATAAGTATTTTTTTTTTCCAGGGCTTTCACAATGCCTCGTTATGTAATTTGGTTTGTTAAGTTAAATTTGTCTGTATACATAGGTATGCATTTCATACCTATACGTACGTAAAATATTATTACGGAGTTAAATGTCGCATACTAAAAATAAAATGTTCCGGCCGTTAAGTTGGTAATAAGTTCCAATACAATAGTATATCCACGTGACACACCATGACATGATTCACAAATGACTATAGTCATTCATTGTCTATTTAGATATACTTATTGAGAACACTAATAGTTAATGTGCACAAAAGCTTTTTTCCCTTAAAAAAAAATTCGTAAAATATGTTTTTTTTATTTTTTTTTTCCCCCTACGCAGTGTTATTTCAAATCGTAAAACCACATAAACCGGTACCTTCATGCCAACTCATTTTACTGGCAAAAACCAAAACAAGTGGGACAAAAGACTGAAATCTTCCAACAGTCGGATCGACGTATCATTGCGACGTGTATACCCACTGCCGTATGGCCAGCCAACCACTTGATTATAGCCCTCATCCTGCACGGCGGTAATGCAGCGTACGGTCGTTTTCTGCCCGAGCAAACCAAATATGGTTTGTTTGATAACTTTTTTTTTTGTTTTTTTTTTTTTTGTTTTTTTCCCCAGTTTTCCTTCGTGACTCGTAGTGCGGGCATAAAATGAGAACGGACGCATACGTATATCGATTAAACATACAGGTGGATATACATAAGTACGTGAATCGGCACGCGCTGTGTTGCTCACGCGAACGGTATCAAACTATTTTTACGATTGTTTGATCAGCTTTTGCGACATCGGTCCTCGAAATTTTTATAACCTCGAGTATAACGGTGATTTATTACACGTTTTCGTTTCACAATGAAATATACCACTGATACAGTGGACAAGTCGAAAATCCATACCATATACCCTTGAGTATATCTCAGCGGACAAAGAGGCTGTGCGAGTTGACTAAGAGAAAAAAAAAGAAGTGCAAAACCGCTCGAGTGATAGGAAATAGGCGGGGATGGATGCAAAAAGAGAGACTCGAGTCGATATACATATACTCTATATACCCAATGGTTTACTCGTATATACCTAGTTACTCGGAGTACGTACATGTATACACGTATAGTAACAGTTAGTAAGAGTTAGTAGGTGGGCGATGGAGAGAAAGGTTGTGCAGCACGCGGTTCGTGAGTTTAGTTTTGCGCGCGCGCGCGCGTGTGTGTGTATGTGGGTGAAAGGAGGATAGAAGGATAAGAGTAGAGGAGAGAGAAGTACCTGACGTGTATAATAGCAGAGCAGCTATATGCTCTACGGAGCTGGACTTGTGGCTTTACTGTACAATGCAGCTCTTGAAATTGAAGATCAAAGAGTGTAACTGAACATTTCTTATTTTTTTCCAAGATTACATCATTGAACTCCTCGAAAATCATACCAAAATTCACACGCCTCGTATCTAAATTCACGTGCAAAATCATCCCTTTTTACCGTAGATATGAAACGTGAAACAAAAAATACCTTGCGAGAAAGCATGATATTATCATTTGATTGCAACATTTGACTCGATTATTTACTTTTAAATTCAATTTCAATTACAGTACTTTATCAAAAAAACGTTTTGAAAAAAGAATAAATTATCACGTACAAATGTTTTTCGAGTAGAATATGTTTATCTTCCAAGTCAAACACATGGCTCGTATGATATTTTTTTTTTCTTGAAGAAAGAACCATCAGAGTAACGAACCAATGAAGCGCGAAACTTCAGCTGGTACGATTTACGAGACAGAAAATACGTACAGGTTTATTTACATGGAGGGGAAGAAAAGTGCTGCAGGAATTCCACGCAACATAATTACATCGACTATCACCAGTTTGCAAGTACGATGTGTGATTATCATTTTCCACGCATAATATTTGTATGACATGGAAATTCAACGTTGGCACGTGTGAAAGATAAAAAAAAAAAAAAAAAATTCTCAATGTCAATTTCACGAGTTAGCATCTCCACTGCGGAGATGTCTTTGCCTACAAGTGCTGCAGCGATTGTAAGTATAAGGTAACAGCTCGTCGTTTTACGCTCGCAAAGCTATAGGCTCGCCAGCTGTCGGCGCTCGTTCGCCCCGTTCTCTTCTTTTTTGCGCGCCATCGACGACTTCCGTATATTCTAATGCGCTTCCGAGAGCGAAGCTCTACGCGAGCGAATAAGAAGCTCTTGGACGGATACGGGCTTCGACGGGTACGGATTTTACTTTGCGTTTTGTGTTCATCGGGGGTGATTGCTGGGTAAATCAGAAAATCGGTCGTTGATGGAGTGTAGGAGGCTCGAGTGGCACGGTGCTTGCAAAGGGGGACGTTTTTCGGTGATGGATTGTCGGCGAGGAATCGTGGGGTGGATTCCGCTCTCAGGGGGAAAAATTGTTTTCGTCGATCTAATAGCGTCGCATGAGTCATGGGGAAAAAGCGAGGGACGCGCTTATTCACGAACTCTGTGTATGTGATGCCGGTCGATACGACATTTGTCGAGGGTAAATATTTCGTAAAAAAATATAATTTTTTTCCGGTGCCATTTTTCATGTTGCCTTGGACAAACATGTTTTTCTTTTGAAAGACATGAAAAGCATAAGCCTACCGTCACGCACATAGTGAAAGAGATGATAAAACATACGCTGGAGCAAATAATATTTTTAAAAGGCCTTTCAACAAGATTAAGGTTTTTGCGTGGTCTATACATATGCTCAAACAAGTCGTGTCATACGAGTATTGAACATTTTATCTCCGGTGGATGAAAAGAGGCAATTAAATTTCAACCTAAGCCTCAGCTTTTTACAACACGCGTGATAAGTTACTCCGAAGAATTTCATAAACGAGCCATAGTCGCCCGCGAGCTAGTTCCCCTGCGTATTTCCGAGAAAGAAAAAAAAAAAAAAAAACAGGTGATGATTCATCCCGGCTAATCGCAAAACAACGAGCAGCCCCTCGCTAAGCTTCTCGGAGTCATATATATATATTTTTTTTTTCCTTCACAGTACGGCGATTTCTTCGCAAAAAACTTTGCGCGCCGTAAAACGTTGTAGCGGCTTCGGGGACCGATCGATCGAGCGTGTAGAGCCAAAGTAGCCATTATACAATGGCTCAGGAGAGTTTCGTTAGGATTGCGCAATCGGACAGCTGTGGGATTACGTCTATGCACGCGAGTGATGCGGGCTAAGGATTACTACGGTTTTATAACAGAGTGACTGAGTCCTTTTCTCCGATGAATTACGTCCACGAGCGTGTATTACCCGGCATGTACACACCGGGGGTGTTTCGTTGCCGACTACTCGCGCATCCAGTGTGTTTCATCAGTTTTAAAACTCTCTTATGAAGCGTAAGTTGAAATGGACGAAAAGTCGTGGTGTTTTTAGATCGACCGTAGGGAGGAGGGGATATAAAGAGGCTCTTTTTTCTCGTTTTGCGCAACTGGGGCCTCGCATGCGCGAGAGGAGACCAGCAGAAGCTTCTCCGCTCGCTTTGTTACAATGACGCTACGTTTTGAATTCAGATCCGAGAGTTGCAATCGAAAGGAGTTTGTTGCGCGTGAAAGGCTTTTGGCGCGCTCGCGGGAGAGTTGATAAAAATCGATTTATTGGGCGTATCGGGGCACGCGCGCGTGCGATTGCGTTTGTTACAATCGAGATTAGATGCGATTTTTCTTGTCTCCGCTTTTTTTTCGCTTCATCGTAGAGTACAGTGTATAAGGATATGATATTGTACAGAACAAGAAAGTAAGGGAATCGGGGGTTATTGCTACTTTGTTGAAACGAAAAATGTTGCGGTGGTGTCTGACCATATCGGT